TGTCTCTCTCTGTCTGTCTGGTGAGCGCATGCACCCTATAGCAAAAAACCTCTCCAAAAAAAAAAAAAAAAAAAAGAAATTAACACATTAAAAAAATGTATTTTAAGTATGGGGTTTCTCTTCTTTAGAGGATTCCTGTGTCATCTGATAAATAATTCTGGTCTCATTTTCAGCCTTTTCCCCAAGAGGTCCAGTATTCTGCAATTTCAGTAGGAAATTCTTCCATGCATATGAAGAATTTATTACTAACCCTCTTGCACACTTGATCTAGATGATGAGTTTAGGGTGCTGGAAAACAACAAAAATATTTCTATAATATGAGATGGCAATAGGATATAAGAAGGTAAAGAAATAATCAAATAGGTGGCATGATGATTACAATTCTGGATTCCCACATGATTGACCACAGTTCAAGTCCCAGACCATGCATCTTGAAAATCATGCTGGGTGAGTGCGCATGTGTGCCCAAATCTTAAAAGGAGAATGGAGATGGGATTGTGTCATGGCCATTCCCCATGGGGGACATTTCTCACTTTCCTTCTCTTTCTGTCTTTCCCTGTCTCTCTCTCTGCCTCTCCAGTGAACACATGTGCCCTATAGCAAAAATAAATAAATAAAATAAAATAAATAGAAAAGAAAAAGAATGAATGAAAGAAAGAAAGAGAAAGGTGGACCCTTCCGAATCTCCACGCATCCCCACCATTCTTCCTCCTTGGACCCCAGGTTGGTTGCCTGGGACTTTAAGGCGAACCCCCACCCCATCCCACCCGAAATCCAGATCTAGCTGGCCAGCAGATCCAGACACCAGATGGACTGAGGCTGCAGGCCCAACCCTTGTGAATCTCCACGCATCTCCACCGTTTTTCCTCCTTGGACCCCAGGTTGGTTGCCTGGGACTTTAAGGCGAACCCCCACCCCATCCCACCCGAAATCCAGATCTAGCTGGCCAGCAGATCCAGACACCAGATGGACTGAGGCTGCAGGCCCAACCCTTGTGAATCTCCACGCATCTCCACCGTTCTTCCTCCTTGGACCCCAGGTTGGTTGCCTGGGACTTTAAGGCGAACCCCCACCCCATCCCACCCGAAATCCAGATCTAGCTGGCCAGCAGATCCAGACACCAGATGGACTGAGGCTGCAGGCCCAACCCTTGTGAATCTCCACGCATCTCCACCGTTCTTCCTCCTTGGACCCCAGGTTGGTTGCCTGGGACTTTAAGGCGAACCCCCACCCCATCCCACCCGAAATCCAGATCTAGCTGGCCAGCAGATCCAGACACCAGATGGACTGAGGCTGCAGGCCCAACCCTTGTGAATCTCCACGCATCTCCACCGTTCTTCCTCCTTGGACCCCAGGTTGGTTGCCTGGGACTTTAAGGCGAACCCCCACCCCATCCCACCCGAAATCCAGATCTAGCTGGCCAGCAGATCCAGACACCAGATGGACTGAGGCTGCAGGCCCAACCCTTGTGAATCTCCACGCATCTCCACCGTTCTTCCTCCTTGGACCCCAGGTTGGTTGCCTGGGACTTTAAGGCGAACCCCCACCCCATCCCACCCGAAATCCAGATCTAGCTGGCCAGCAGATCCAGACACCAGATGGACTGAGGCTGCAGGCCCAACCCTTGTGAATCTCCACGCATCTCCACCGTTCTTCCTCCTTGGACCCCAGGTTGGTTGCCTGGGACTTTAAGGCGAACCCCCACCCCATCCCACCCGAAATCCAGATCTAGCTGGCCAGCAGATCCAGACACCAGATGGACTGAGGCTGCAGGCCCAACCCTTGTGAATCTCCACGCATCTCCACCGTTCTTCCTCCTTGGACCCCAGGTTGGTTGCCTGGGACTTTAAGGCGAACCCCCACCCCATCCCACCCGAAATCCAGATCTAGCTGGCCAGCAGATCCAGACACCAGATGGACTGAGGCTGCAGGCCCAACCCTTGTGAATCTCCACGCATCTCCACCGTTCTTCCTCCTTGGACCCCAGGTTGGTTGCCTGGGACTTTAAGGCGAACCCCCACCCCATCCCACCCGAAATCCAGATCTAGCTGGCCAGCAGATCCAGACACCAGATGGACTGAGGCTGCAGGCCCAACCCTTGTGAATCTCCACGCATCTCCACCGTTCTTCCTCCTTGGACCCCAGGTTGGTTGCCTGGGACTTTAAGGCGAACCCCCACCCCATCCCACCCGAAATCCAGATCTAGCTGGCCAGCAGATCCAGACACCAGATGGACTGAGGCTGCAGGCCCAACCCTTGTGAATCTCCACGCATCTCCACCGTTCTTCCTCCTTGGACCCCAGGTTGGTTGCCTGGGACTTTAAGGCGAACCCCCACCCCATCCCACCCGAAATCCAGATCTAGCTGGCCAGCAGATCCAGACACCAGATGGACTGAGGCTGCAGGCCCAACCCTTGTGAATCTCCACGCATCTCCACCGTTCTTCCTCCTTGGACCCCAGGTTGGTTGCCTGGGACTTTAAGGCGAACCCCCACCCCATCCCACCCGAAATCCAGATCTAGCTGGCCAGCAGATCCAGACACCAGATGGACTGAGGCTGCAGGCCCAACCCTTGTGAATCTCCACGCATCTCCACCGTTCTTCCTCCTTGGACCCCAGGTTGGTTGCCTGGGACTTTAAGGCGAACCCCCACCCCATCCCACCCGAAATCCAGATCTAGCTGGCCAGCAGATCCAGACACCAGATGGACTGAGGCTGCAGGCCCAACCCTTGTGAATCTCCACGCATCTCCACCGTTCTTCCTCCTTGGACCCCAGGTTGGTTGCCTGGGACTTTAAGGCGAACCCCCACCCCATCCCACCCGAAATCCAGATCTAGCTGGCCAGCAGATCCAGACACCAGATGGACTGAGGCTGCAGGCCCAACCCTTGTGAATCTCCACGCATCTCCACCGTTCTTCCTCCTTGGACCCCAGGTTGGTTGCCTGGGACTTTAAGGCGAACCCCCACCCCATCCCACCCGAAATCCAGATCTAGCTGGCCAGCAGATCCAGACACCAGATGGACTGAGGCTGCAGGCCCAACCCTTGTGAATCTCCACGCATCTCCACCGTTCTTCCTCCTTGGACCCCAGGTTGGTTGCCTGGGACTTTAAGGCGAACCCCCACCCCATCCCACCCGAAATCCAGATCTAGCTGGCCAGCAGATCCAGACACCAGATGGACTGAGGCTGCAGGCCCAACCCTTGTGAATCTCCACGCATCTCCACCGTTCTTCCTCCTTGGACCCCAGGTTGGTTGCCTGGGACTTTAAGGCGAACCCCCACCCCATCCCACCCGAAATCCAGATCTAGCTGGCCAGCAGATCCAGACACCAGATGGACTGAGGCTGCAGGCCCAACCCTTGTGAATCTCCACGCATCTCCACCGTTCTTCCTCCTTGGACCCCAGGTTGGTTGCCTGGGACTTTAAGGCGAACCCCCACCCCATCCCACCCGAAATCCAGATCTAGCTGGCCAGCAGATCCAGACACCAGATGGACTGAGGCTGCAGGCCCAACCCTTGTGAATCTCCACGCATCTCCACCGTTCTTCCTCCTTGGACCCCAGGTTGGTTGCCTGGGACTTTAAGGCGAACCCCCACCCCATCCCACCCGAAATCCAGATCTAGCTGGCCAGCAGATCCAGACACCAGATGGACTGAGGCTGCAGGCCCAACCCTTGTGAATCTCCACGCATCTCCACCGTTCTTCCTCCTTGGACCCCAGGTTGGTTGCCTGGGACTTTAAGGCGAACCCCCACCCCATCCCACCCGAAATCCAGATCTAGCTGGCCAGCAGATCCAGACACCAGATGGACTGAGGCTGCAGGCCCAACCCTTGTGAATCTCCACGCATCTCCACCGTTCTTCCTCCTTGGACCCCAGGTTGGTTGCCTGGGACTTTAAGGCGAACCCCCACCCCATCCCACCCGAAATCCAGATCTAGCTGGCCAGCAGATCCAGACACCAGATGGACTGAGGCTGCAGGCCCAACCCTTGTGAATCTCCACGCATCTCCACCGTTCTTCCTCCTTGGACCCCAGGTTGGTTGCCTGGGACTTTAAGGCGAACCCCCACCCCATCCCACCCGAAATCCAGATCTAGCTGGCCAGCAGATCCAGACACCAGATGGACTGAGGCTGCAGGCCCAACCCTTGTGAATCTCCACGCATCTCCACCGTTCTTCCTCCTTGGACCCCAGGTTGGTTGCCTGGGACTTTAAGGCGAACCCCCACCCCATCCCACCCGAAATCCAGATCTAGTATGTATCCACTCAATATATACCAACTATCTGCACTCTATGATAGAGAGCAAAAAATTGGAGGACATAAGAGCAGTGAAGGTACTTAATGAGAATAGGACAGTGTGGAATGGGGGAAGTGAAGAGAAGAGGATAGAGAAAGATAGCAAGTGAACAATAGAGAGGCAGGACATTAGTGAGAAACAGATATGGCTTATTAACTGTTGATGATGACATGTATAG